CTCTCTCTATCTCTCTCCTCCTCTCCTCTCTCCTCCTCTCTCTCTCTACCTCTCTGCCTCCCTCTCTCCCTCTCTCGCTCTTTCTCTCCATATCTCTCTCCCCCTCTCTCTCTCTGGGTTCAGAATCCCTCTGCAGTGGACCCAGTGGTTTGGCACCGATGGTGATTCGATAGTGAGTTGATGTGTGAGAGACGGCGTTCGCTGCTGCGCGGCTGTTGTGTGTGATTGTATCACGGCTCTGTTTTCCTCGTGCAAACACGAACAACCAGAGGAGCGATCTTATCAGTCAATTCATCGGCGACGCCGATTGCTGGATACCGACACCCAATAGCAAACGTTTACCCTTAGCTGCATAGATGCTGAACCTTAACTAACGTGAGATGAAGATGAATGAAGGATTGGTTTGTTGAAGGGTGGATTCGCGTGAAATGTCTGTGTGTGTGTGTTAGCAAGAATCAACACGAACAACCCCCCCCTCCCGTGTGAATGCTCCTCAGGCTCATTTGTCGTGTGTGTGTGTGTATGTGTGTGTGTGTGCGTGCGTGCGTGCGTGCGTGCGTGTGTGTCCCGTGGTGTGGTGTTTTCGTATGACTGTTGTCACATATTTTCCGTCTCGCGTATATATGGCTTAAAATTTAACGTACCGTGGTTATACTTATAGTTGTGTGTGCCTATGTGCAGTAGTTAAAGCCTAGGACACACTGCGCGATTTTCTACGCTGGCCGCTTTATATACTTGCGATCGATAAATACGGTGCCGGGTCCGTGCGGTGTGTCCGGTCTCACGGCAGCGTATTTCGCTCGCGATTCGATACGCCCGGCGCATCGCTCGTATTCGACATGTTGAATATTTCCGCCCGGTTTTCGATCGCGTGCGTACAAATACGACATTGTGTCCACATGTTCGCGCGCGATTTCTTTCAGCAGCCAATCAAGTTTAGTAAAGCAGTCACATGATGCATAAAATAACAGCGTACACACAAGAAGTGTGAACTATGCAGAAGGAGGATGATTTGGCCATTTTATGGTCAGAGAACTCGACTGACGATAGACGAGAGACTCGAGAGACCAACTATGACATACAGTCTGTACTTTACAACTTACTTTAATCTGAACTTGAATCATTTATCTACGTGCATGCACGCTATGATGTCCTGGTAGAAACCACAACATAAGAATATATCAAGTTGTTAACCTAATGGTAAATATATACATCATCCCAAAATGGTCTGTCTTCATTCACATTTGTCAACCAATGAAAATCACTTCCGGTTACTTCGGCTATTCCCGATGTTCAAACATAGTCCGCGCCATCTATGGTCCGGTCATGGTCCGGCTAATCTTAATTATTTCCGAGTGAACCCGAAGCTACCGGAAGTGAATTTCATTGGCCGATCGAAATGAATATGGCCAAAAATATCGAAGTTACTCATGCTAGGATGAATTATTGCATGAAAACAAAGTTCTGAAGCGGAGATAAAGTCTTTGGAAAGCGATATTGACAAACAGAAGGTCTGTACTTGATATTTTGGGTCGGATATACCCCCGTCACGCTCTCAGTGCTACTCGATTTACCTATCCAATGCCCACAACAAAAATTGCAACAATTTTTACAAGGGTGACTGCAGACGATAAACCCGCACCCTCAGATTAACAAAGCGGAGTTATAACGTCTGCATTTGCGGACTACACGTACATGTACATGTACACACGTACATGTACATGTAACACGGCCAGCGTACAAAATCGCAGTGTGTGTCCAGCTGTACGCGCAACTCGTACGGCGTTCTAAAATCGTGAGCGAAAATATACGCTGCCGGGCAGCGTACAGAATCGCTAGTGTGTCCTAGGCTTAAGGGGTGGACACACTAGGCGATTTTTCGCTCGATCGCATGAAAAATCGCGTAGTGTGTCCAGTGAGTCGCATCGATTTTCGAGTCGGTCGGCCGAGTCCCCCGATTCAAACATGTTTTGATAATTATTTGAGTCGCGCGGCTACAATCGCGTAGGGCGACTCTGTGGACACACTATGCGACTGAGTCGGGCGACTCTGTGGATTTTCAGCACGCTGATTGGCTGATGAATTGTACAATCGGCCGACTCGATCGCAGACCCGGGCGCGAATTTTTTTTTCCTACACGTTATATCCATCGGGCTCCTCTGATTGGCTGCTTTGATTTGACCACACCATAGATAGTGTTTGGGATACGATAGATAGTATATAAGCCGATTAGTTTGTTTATAGTTTAGTTAGTATAGTTTGTTAGAGTTTGTTATATAGTTATATATAGTTATATAGTTATTTTATAGTTTGTTAGTATAGTTTAGTTTTTTTATAGTTAGTGTTGGCTTTCGGGTTAGGGTTAGGGTTGGGGTTAGGATTATGGTTAGGGTTAGGGTTAGGGTTGGGGTTAGGGTTAGGGTTGGGGTTAGGATTAGGGTTAGAATTTTTGCATCATTCCTTGATATACGGAAATTAATTGATATGCGGAAGTTGATATGCGTATATCAAGCCCAATGGATATAACGTGTAGGAAAAAAAAATTCGCGACCCGGGCACACGACTCAGTCGCGTAGTGTGTCCACAGAGTCGCCCGACTCGGTCGCGTAGTGTGTCCACAGAGTCGCCCGACTCGGTCGCGTAGTGTGTCCACAGAGTCGCCCGACTCAGTCGCGTAGTGTGTCCACAGAGTCGCCCGACTCAGTCGCGTAGTGTGTCCACAGAGTCGCCTGACTCAGTCGCGTAGTGTGTCCACAGAGTCGCCTGACTGAGCCGGCCGGCTCGATCGCATGATAAATCGCCTAGTGTGTCCACCCCTTTAGGTTTCACTGAGACCCTCAGCATCCCCTCTAATCCTTTCCCCCCACACCCCAGCTTCCAGACAGTTTGTGAGTGAATATATCACGTCATATAACATGGCAAGTACTGATTTTTTAGTAGCAAGAGTCACCTTCAGACGACGACGAAGGCCGTGCCAGCACGCGCCGTTGAATCATCAGCGACTCTCATATATCATGCGCATGTTTAGCACTCGCCTTCAAGAAGGCAGCCGCACAACTTCCAACTCGCTCTCGTATCCGCCACGCGTGACTTGTGACGAACTAGCCTTATTCGAATTTCAGCGTCGCTGTCTCGTATCGTATTGTCACACGAATAAAGCAGGCGCCATTAATATTGTATCACGCTTTGATATTTACGTTTGACAGGCAAACAAAATGAGCCTTTTTTAGCCTCTTCATGCCAACGAGAGTTGTTATGCATCACATCATCCGACGAACGATTATAATACGTAGTTGTGGCGCCGCTGATACGCCTTAGCAACAGTTACTATAGCGACAAATATGAGGACAATTCCACACGCGCTATCACAGATTCGTATTACAGATTCGTATTACAGATTCGTATATATTGTTCTTAGATTCGTATATACGCGCATTGGTAACACGTGTCCATTGTTTACGCGTTAATATAGAGCATCGCATGTACACGACCTCAAAGTCACCTTTACGTGTAGCGCGTAGATGTGTAATGTGCCTGTCACGAAGTCGTCTGATGCTGCATGCTAGCATGCAGTAATATGGTGTGCTAATATTAGAAACAAAGATGTACGAAAACAGACGCTTAATAATTTGAGTTTTAAATAAATGTTCTTTTACTGACAGTAGCGCTAGCCTTTCTCTCGCCATTTTATCAATAATAAAATTACATGCTGATTACTGAATTCAAATATCGAACAAACCCTCCACCAATGACTGCCCACTAAGCCAGGTAAACATGTACGCAAGCACGCACGCAGGTACGCGCGAACACACGCACACACGAACGCACACGCAGGCTCGCACACGCATACACACATACGCACTCGTACAAATTTTTTATGCAACACAACTTGATGCTCTGTACTCCCTTATATTGAACGCACAATATAAAAGTCTTTATTTACATTAAAAAATCCTCTTATCGGGGTACAACGTTCAACTGCTTATTAAATTTGCACTTTGAACACGACCTGGCAGCTGTTCACATACACACACACACACACACACACACACACACACACCACACACACACACACACACACCCACACACGTACGCACGCACGCACGCACGCACACACGCACGCATACACACGCGCGCGCGCACGCCTGCACACACTCACGCACACACGCACGTACGCGCGCACGCGCACTCACACAGCAATTCTGCAGGGGCGATTATTGGGTGCAATTTTATTATTGGAATAGCATTGGGATAATTGAAATACTATTGCCGATACTATTTCATTAATTAAAAAAAGAGATGATATTGACCAATTATGAAACTGTGTATGATATTATATCGACACTTGTACGTTGGTATGTACGTACGCTTTGGTTAATATTCTTTACTAGCACCCTGTCGTTGCACTCACACGCTCGTTGACAGCGAGTGAGTTAGATGAGTGGATGATGCATGGATAAGAAACCGAATTATTCACAGCAATGACCGAATGTAAATGAAAATGAATGAATGTAAATGAAATGACTGAATGTATGAAAAATGCAATGAATGAATGTAAATGAAAACAATGCAATGAATGCAATGCATGCAATGAATGAATGTAAATGAAAACACTGTAATGGTTTTCAGTTGGGCACTCTATAACAACCACCGGTACTCAATACCCGTAATGCTAACAGTAAACTGTTAGTGGACATTTCTGCTCGCACCAGCCTAACATCACGATGAGGATAACATCATTATGAATTTGTTTACTTGGCATCCCATTATTTCTGACCTTTAAGGCAAGCATATGATTACTACCCGTCGTACCACTACACCTACCTTATCATAATCCTATACACATATGAATTATAGAAATTTATGAGTTATGAATTCTGAGAATATATTAAAATCTCCAAAGTTCATCTAGTACTGTTTTGTTCACTCATTACACTTAACTACAGAAATTTCGCATTTCCACTTGTCCCTCCTGGCGTAATAAATACTGGTGGTTGTTATACAGCAGTGCCCACCTGGTTTTTAGACACATTTATGCGAGAAAACATATATTCAGCAGTGGATGAACTAACCTGGTCGTTTAATGTTGAAACTATCGAAAACTATCGCTTGTTCAGTAAACTATCAGCGATAGTTATCGGTGTATCACTTTGCAATCGATATTGAACCAAGCATTACTGCAATGAAATGATGCTTTGATGCATCGTTACCACCTGACAAAGCTGCATCCCAACCCCCTACGCTACAGCTGGTATCACGGTCTCACACACAGTTCAACGGGTGGCGCGGCAGGCCGCAGCGCCATCTCGTGGCAGCTTCTTCATTCTCGCGCCACCACCTCCGTGCATTCATTCAGCGTGTGCGTTTACTTCTTGCTGCGGGTTGGCAGTGCCTTGCTTGAGCTGATGTTCTGCATTAGACCGGCAATCTGTTGATATTTGTTCAACTCCTCTATGAGGCCAGCCATTGTCTTCTCCTTCTCTTCCACCTGTGCCTCAAGCTCGGTAATCTACACAAGACAAATTCAGAAAACCAAGAGCATCTCATGAGCACACGATGGCAGTAGAGATAGAGACCCGAGCAAGTGCAACAGAATGAATACAAATGTGGATCAAAACGCAACCCGTTGACCGCAATCATTTGATAACAATAAATAAAATATTGTATAAGTTGAGAGAATAATATAACATATCACCAAGAATGCACACATCCAACAACAGAATACACACATCCAACAACAGAATACACACATCCAACAACAGAATACACACATTCAACAACAGAATACACACATCCAACAACAGAATACACACAATTCAACAACAGAATACACACATTCAACAACAGAATACACACATCCAACAACAGAATACACACATCCAACAACAGAATACACACATCCAACAACAGAATACACACATTCAACAACAGAATACACACATTCAACAACAGAATACACACATCCAACAACAGAATACACACATCCAACAACAGAATACACACATCCAACAACAGAATACACACATTCAACAACAGAATACACACATTCAACAACAGAATACACACATCCAACAACAGAATACACACATTCAACAACAGAATACACACATTCAACAACAGAATACACACATCCAACAACAGAATACACACATTCAACAACAGAATACACACATCCAACAACAGAATACACACAAACACCAATATTTTATTAGCAGACATCACTATAGAATCGACACCTGTCTATAAGGGTTACTGCTATATCCCATGAGTGGCAGTTACACAGTGAAACCATCTCTAGGATGCCTGGCCATAAAGGATACTTTTGTAGTGTTTCTCACCTGACGCCCCACATACGTTTGAATTTGGCCATCTTCTATATACAATGTTTCAGGATTGAATAAAACCAAGTTTTTTTTTATTTGCTCCTGATTGTTTGTATTCCTTTGTAGTTTGGTCAGGAGTACAGATAATCACCACCACGTGGCATATACGTTTTAGAATAGTAAATTAGCAAAATAAAACCTGGGGCACAAGTATATGTGTTGTCTTCACTAAATGTACCAAACTAAATATAAATGCTACATGGTCGCATTTGTATATACTTCCAACAGAGTTCGGAAAGTGAATCTGCATGATGAACAGAAGTCAATCACTCGTTCACCAGATGGTATTCCTGACATATAATGTATTTTATGAATTATCTATTAGGGGTTTATAAACAGATGTATGTGCATTTTGAAACAAAACACTTGCGTAAAACTGTTTAACCTAATTTACAAAAGAACTACAGATAGAGTGGATACCTTATTCTTGTTGGACTCCAGGTCCTTTAATAGCTGTTGCATGGCTTTCTCCATCTCATCGCTTTCCTCATCCTTTCTGACAAGGTCCTTCTTCTGACTGTTCACGGTTGAGGTTAGCTCTGCGACATAAATATAAAATAATACTAATAATAACAACAACAATAGTAATCATAATACAGGCACATATAGATGGGATATGGAGATAACTACATAATGTATCCAGTATCTCCAATGGGGAAGGGTGGGTGGGGGGGGGGCAAGAAGGTAAAGAACCAAAACTACTTACCCTTTAGTGTTCCATCTTTCTCTTTCAGTTGTCTGAGAATCGCTTTCTTCTCCTTTACCGATTCCTCTAGCTGCCTCGACTCACTGAAGGAAAATTCATCAAATAACACTCATTTATTTGTAGTGGTAGTAGCCTCAGACAGTGGTCTTCACCATGTGGCTCATGTTCCAAATTAAAATTTTCGTGGGTTGTTAACACATTTGATCCCTCCAATTTTAAGGGCACCAACATAAAATAGTACGGCCACCGAGTTACACGACCCTAGTGAACGGACTTTACCTTTCCAGCTTGCTCTTAAACACATCCACCTGTTGCTTGAGTATGGCATGCATGTCACTGAGAGACTGGTACTCCTGCTGTGCATCCTGAAGCTGCGTTGCCAACCTTGTGATACAATGATCATGATAGAGAAGATTACACTCCCAGACTGAACCTTTTGCAGGTGAAATCATCACTGCCTATTTCTAGCAGAGTGTGAACATAGTGCAGAGAGAAATAATCGGCTTTACACAAAATATTTTATTTAAGAGAGGAAAGGATGGATATGCATGTCGAGTCGGAAAATATTAGGAGATTGGATGTAGGGAAAGAATTCTGGTAAAAAGTGGCTGTAGGCAAGTTGTTTTAGTTAAGTGAACTGGGAAGGATATGGAAATAAAATCAATCAAGAAACATGGAAAATATTAGTGGGAATTGATACGTGACAAATGGGGAAGCAAATAACTGGAATAAATAAACTACATGGCTAGGAGAATAAACGGCAGACGGAATTAAGGGACGTGAGGCAAATCATTGACCAACATACTTCAATGTTCTTTTGGCAGCAGCTTCTTCCAGTTCTTCTTTTTCCGTCTCCAGCTGAGCGTTCATGGCTTCCAGCTTCTCGACCTCCTGCCGGAACACCTTCAGGTCATGCCTGGCTTCCTCCAGCAGTGACGCTTCTGCCTGCATCTGCTGCTGCAGGGTCTCCAACTGGATGCCAAGCTGCCGCACCTGTAAGCGAATACACCGCAGCGCATGCAGTGTGTTGGTGAGGGGTCGAATTTAAATCCATAATATATTATAATATATATATATATCTATATGTAAGGTTAAAAATATTATCCATTGCTGAAATGAAACTCGCTTACTATATCCCGTTTGTCTCGCAATGGGTGGTCCAAAAGATAATAGAAGAACACGACGTTTCAGAAGTGTCGCAGTAGCGCAGCCGCATCACCTGACAATCCAATTTTAACCACCGTAATCCAATTTCTTCCAATCCAATTTTTTCCACCGTAATCCAATTTCTGGATGTCAACGATACGCCGCCATGAATCACACGTTACGATAGCAAACGACGGCAGACCCACAACAGGTGAGATTACAGCCAACGCTAGCCAGACGATTTCGACGCGGGAACTTGCAGGTGCCAGCCGGCCGGGCACGGCGCAAGAAACATCATGCGTCAGACCGCCAATCACAGCAGCGCCTGTCCAGCAGTTGTACCGCTCAATCCAACCGGGGGATATATATAACCTCACGCGCAACGTCGGACAACGGCGGGCTGTCCACCTCAGTCTACAGGAAGCCCACTCACACAGACCAATACATACCGTTTGATTCGCATCACCCCATCTCTGTGAAGAGAGGCCTAGTGAAATGTCTTTTTGACAGAGCGGAACGCATAGTTTCCAGCCCACAACAGACAAGCAATGAGCGGGCACACGTCCGGGATGCCCTAGGTAAGAACGGGTACCCACGCCGTTTCATCCATAGTTCAACCAAAAAAACTTCACAACCTAAGGAGCCGAAGGTTTATAAGACGTTTACGGTCTTACCCTTCATAGACGGAATCTCCCAGCAGCTGAAACGCCGCCTAGAGAACCATGGCATTCGGACCGTGTTCCGCTCAGAC